GAACATACAGATGTCTGGGTTTTGGAAGTTTGCCTGGAGTTTATTTTACTGTGTCTGTGTTTGGTGGGGTTTTTTTAACTGACAGAAGTCTCCCTGCTCTTCAGAGGAGATTATTTGTACACAATTGTCCTCAGAAGCCATCATGCCTCAGTGCAGCCTTTCCATTGTCACCTGTTGAATAGCTGAGCTTCAGTTTTGTGCTACCAGCATTGATTGGTTTTGCCATTGTCACCAGGTTAATGCTTCTGCAGAGAAGWGGAAGGCAAATTTTACTGAACACCAGCAGGAAAATAATTTGCTTTTGTCACTTTTCCAAGGAGCAGAACCTAAAAGAAAAAACTTACAGAGGGTGGATGCCCCATGCAGCTGAGTGGCCAGGCACTGCTCTGTTGGTTTAAATGTTTCATGTTCCCTGCTCAGCCCCTGCTGCCCTTACAGAGCACTGAGTCTCCTGCTTGTCTTGTGCAATTCAAAGCCCAGCTCAGGAAAACACGGATGGGAACACCACACAAAGCACAGAGATTAAAATCATATCCAGCCTACAGCATTCTCATCGTCAGACACATCTCCTGAATGTGYCAGACAATGTGCCTGAAGGGTGGCAGCTCGATGGAATGATTAAAGAAATGAACCCACAGGAGTCAATGAAATTGAGTTTAAAGAACGTGGGCTGGAGCTGTGTTCTGGAATTTCATAAATTAGGTTATTTTTTACATTTTTGTTCTATCCCTAACCTTTGCCTTTTTCATTAATGAAAAAAAATCAGCCAAATTCCAGCCTATGAAGAAGCATCTAATTATCCTGCAACAGAAGTCCTACCTGAGTCACATCCAGAAGACAACCATGTAYGTTTTTCACAACTACCTGAAGTACTCTGAAGTAATTTGCCTCCTGAAATTTGCCAGTGCCTTACAAAATACACTTCTCTAGTCATCTTTGGAAAGGCTATTTCTACACAAAATACCTTTACTGTGAGTGAAGCCAGCAGTGGGGAAGAAAATGGTGCTCCACCTTGAGTTCTAAGAGAACTTTTTAAGYTGTGAGTCAAGGTTTTATCTAGATTCAGCTTGGTACAGCTGTTTGTGGTGTTTACTGATGTTTTGGTGTTGTTATAGAATAGCCTGGCATTGTTTTAACAACACCACACAAAAAGTGGCATGGCCTTGGCCAGGTCTGACTTCCTCCTGCCTTGTTTTTCCAGCCCTTCTCTTTTTTTAAAATTTAGAAACAGAACTCTCTTTGGTTCCATGGCACTCACCAGGGCTCAGCAAAGCCTCTGGCTGTTGTTGTCTGCAAAGCAGCTCAGWCCTGAAGATATCTGCACCATTCCACATCACAGGAATCCACCACTGCCACTGCCTGCAGGTGGATACTCAGTGTATTGGACATACTTAGATGTTAAACCACACAAAAAATAATTAAAACCCACCACTACGCTGCCTTTCTCAGATGGAGGCACTGCCATAGGTTATGATGAGCAATTCCCTTGTCTGCTTATTAAAGGAGTATTTGCTGTCCAGGCAAAATTCTTCCTACATCAGATGRTCCCAAAGCAGAAAAGTAGAGGAGRGAAAGAGAGAGCAGTGGGAATTTCCTGCCTCACTTGTGCCAGGGGAGCTGATGCTGTGAGTTGGTACCAACAGAGCCCTTGGTCAGGCAGGTCCAGCATCAGCCCTGGCTCCTGCTCACTGCTGCAGCTACAGCAGCTCTCATTCATTCATTCTCTGCCTTTGCAGCCAGATTACTTTGATATTTCTSTGTTCTGGATAGAGGAGCTCAGGATGGATGATGCTTCATCACAGTCAGGAGACAAAGAGCTGCTCAGACTGGCAGACAGCAAAGCACCCACCACGCCCACCCCACGGAACAGAGCTGTGAAACAGAGCAGTGCTGCTCCAGAGGGCAAATTGGAAGTGTAAAATACAAAGAAAGAGGATGTGGCAGCACTAATGGACTCTCATTTAAACGTCTTTACTGTGGTAGGCTTGAGGCTGCTTTATGCAAAATGATCAAGGCTTTTAGCAGAAGCTCAAACCAAAGCTGCCAAGGGAAACATCACAGAAGCTTTAGAAGCGATTTTTTTTTTTTTGAGCTGGGACAGTCAGAACTCACTTTGTTGTGGAGTGCAAGTTCAGGTGAATCAGATGGAGTGTGATGACAGCACACGGCTGTTTTTGCACAAATGTGGATTTTATAAGGACCAGACTGAGAAGGGTGCAGCCATGGCCAGTGAGCAGCACTGCTGCTGTGGGACTTGTCCCAGACTGCTCCCTTTTCCCAGTGTTAACAATTCCTAAAGATTTTTAACTTACTCACAGTTATGGAAGTGTGTTCTTTTTTGTAATATTTATAATTTATAATTTATAATTATTGCACTAATTGAAACTCTCTTGTATGGAATCCTTCCTTTACATTCCCTTTCTTTGTTTGCTACAACCCACTTATTTATAATAATACAACATTCAGTTCTCCAAATTCACCCTTTCTTAAGGAGTTTCTGCTCCAGTGCAGGGACTTCAGGTGCTGGAGCAGCAGCAGGTCCCCAGTGGCACTTCGTGACCATTTAGGTGGTCACTGCCTTCATGGCCACAGGAGGAAGATGAGATCAAATAACCACAAAGACTAAACTGATCCCTGTCAGGGTGAGTCAAGCATATTAAATATTGGGGTTTTTTATATAATTCTATAATATGGTTTTAAATACCATTAAAAGCTTGTATTTCATCAAAGAACCATCAAACAAGTGTTTTCCTAAGTATAACAGTTACCCACTTTCTTCAGTGGTGCCATCCCATCCAGAGCCCATCCTGCAGGCATCAATATCACCTGTGGCCAGTAGTTTTCACTTTCAACATTTACAATTAATTTTCATGAATATTCCCAAGTGCCACACACTAACATGACACTAAAAAAGCATTAGATCCTCCCCATGCCATCCTCCACTTGGCTTTTTCTCATCATCAGGAGATTTATGATTTTAATCTCCATTTTATAGAACTTATCACTTTTAACAACCAGAAGAAAATGCTAAATTGTTTTTATTGCTGTTAGATGTACAAAGACATGATGCTGTATACTGTCATTTACATTTCACATTAAAAGTGAAATATGTTGTGAWTGTGCAAGTATTGGTTTTAATTTGACCCATCTGTTAAATGAAAAGCAAAGAGGACTTCTAAATCACAATATTTAAATTCAGCGATTTGTAAACAATTTATATGTTCATTTCTTCTGGGTTAAAACTGCCCTAAAGCATCACTCTTATGAAATCTCCAAATTAAATTGCTTTGCATTGTTCTCAGAAATGCAAGCAGGAGTTTATTCTCCCTCAGTTTATTAATTTATTCCTCAAGCCAAGTAAATTAGCAAGACTTGTATTAAGAGTCTTGCCATTGAAATAATTTTGGGGAATTCACACAAGTATCTCCCGCCTCCAGAAAGCTGAGAGAGCAGAGGGAGTGTCAGATACACTGGGTGGCAAATTCCTTCACCATGAAGAGCAAACCAGTTGCTTTCATTTATTCAGCACTTTTACAAGCAGCACTGCATCTCCCTGCTCCATGCCAGAGCACCAGGAWGAATAACCAAGAAGGGGGAGAAAAGCCATGGCAATTTACCTTCCCCTCTCGAGCCAGCCAGGATTTGGATCTCAGACTGGGCTTTAATCCAGCTGTGGTAATTTCCAAGGGGAGGAAGATCCACACACATCTGAGGATCCCACACACAGCGCTTGCAGAGCAGATCTCTGTCTCTGCTTTGTGAATCACGTGCATTTAAACTTCACTGCTGAGCCTCTGCCCCAGAAATCCAGACTGCCACTGCAGAGAGGGACAGAGAGCCCTTTCAATAAACCACACCTTGTGAGAGGAGATGATTTCCTCATTTCAAGGCAGCTTTACTTCCTGCCACAGACCATGGCAAAAGCAGGACTAGATGAGGAAGCAGAGAATCCTCAAGGGAAAAAAAAATAGAAGAGAGGAAGAAAGGTAATACAAAATCTAATCTACTTAAAGTTGTAGAAGAGGACAGACACACAAATCTCAAGTCCCTCTCTGCCATATCAAACAGAGAACCTTAGCCCACAACAGAACCAAAAAGCAACACAGAAATTCTGGGTCTACTGTGCACTCCTGCTCTAGATGGTTCATATTTTATGTCCAGCATCATAATGAGCAACCCACCAAAACAGGAACCAGCAGAAAGGCATCCTGAGATGATTAAGGGTGACTCAAAGAGCATCAACAAACGTGGAGCCTACATGGATCACTGCCTGAAAAGATTTCAACTTGGTGAAATGACAGCTTGATTAGTTTTTTGTCTGACAAATGTGGTGAGAGAGATCAGAATCAAACATAATTTGAGGGTTACAGGCCTTTAAATAAAAGCAGAGAAAAAAAGAATTCAGAGAGGGCAACTGCAATTCATGAGATGAAATCAATTCTCCAGTTTGGCTTCCTCAATGCTCAGATGCAACACAGCCACACCTGCTGAGGCTAAAAAAAACCCTCCAAGGAGCATCCTGAATTAACAGGGAAATGTCTTCAGAGAGAGACTTCAGATCCTGTAGGACAGCCTTCCCTCCCATCAGCAGCCTTACTAAATACTCATATTTGGAATTTAGCAGGAAAACATCCAAGTAGAGCTACTTTACATCCAGGCAACTGTTGCCTATTGCTACCCCAAAGGTCAAGCTGCAACAGCCTGTCACCCATATTGCTGCATGTAGGCATGCAATAAAATCAAACAGAAACAGCAGACAGTAAATGGATTTTTCATTCTTTTTCCCTCTTTCCTGTTCTAATGACAAAAAGAATCAAAACYACACAGAAACATCAGTGTTCTCAAAATGTATCATCACAACCAAAAGTATTATCTCTCATTTTGTACCATTTTCAAACCATGAAAGAGCTCAGTGAGATAAAGCARAGGCTCCTGGGCTTTCTTCCCTTGTGGAAAGAGGGAGGGGAGGGAGGGAAGGCAGAGTAGCACAGGGCTCTTACCCAGGAATAAAATGATCTGTCTCCTGGAGCTCTTGCCCTCGGAACTTTCACTTTTCCTTAGGTACTCCTTCTGGTGCTTCAGCCCCCCCTTCACTGCCACCGTSCCTTCCTTGTGCAGCATCAGGGCTTTCATCATGCTGTGGCACATGAAGGTGACCGAGCCCAGCACGGCCATGTACACAGCGAAGGCGCTGAAGACGCTGGCCTGGAACAGAGCCCACCTGGAGGAGAGGTTGGTGCAGATGGTCATGTTGTGCTTCAGCTCGGGCAGGTAGTGCCTGGGCGTGGGTTTGATGCAGGAGCTCATCCTCTGGTAGCCCTCGATGGTCTCCAGGGGATACTCCGTGCCCATGGCGAAGAGCAGGGGCAGAGCCACGATGACAGAGGTGCCCCAGACGAAGGCGATGAGCAGCTTCACCGTGCGGGGGCCCGACACCGCCTTGAACTTGAAGGGGTGGCAGATGGCCACGTACCTCTCGAAGCTGAGCGTGGCCACGTGCAGCAGCGTGGCRTAGCTGCACGCCTCGAAGAGGAAGCGGTAGAGCTTGCAGGCAATGTTGCCGTTGGGGGCAGAAAAGGGGCTCCAGATGGYACTGTAGAACTCCACGGGCATTCCCAGCAGGATGACCAGCAGGTCAGAGCAGGCCAGGCTCACCATGTGGTCCGTAACCTCCTTCTGCAGGTAGCCTTTCCTCTGCAGGATCCTGGTGGCYTTGATGGTGACGCTGTTGCCCAAGAGGCCCGCAACAAATATGCAGAYGTAGATCAAGGCCAGGGTGATCTTGATCCACAGAGCCACCTCAAACTCRGGGACGTGGCTGTGGTCAATGAGATGAGAGCAGTCTGAAGTGGGTGCCTTTCCTGCCATGAGCACTCCTGGGGTGGAGGAGGTGCTCTCCTGCCCTCTCCACCGTCCAAGTTCCAGCAATCAGRTCCTTCCTCACTTTGCAAGCAGTCRGGTACAACCAGTGTGTCTCAACCAGCCACACCTGCGGGGTTTGTTGGTTTGTGAGCAACAGCCTCTGAGTCAGTAACCTGAACAGGAAAGTGTTTCAGTTCTTACCTTTCTTTATGGCAAACACCTCTCACTGATTTTGGATTTTCCTCCTCTTTTCTCCACAGTGAATATTCTGTTCTCCAGCTCTTCACGGTGTGAACTGCTCTCTTGCCACGCTTGCCTCTTCGCCTGCAAGCAAAGCAGCTTTAGGTCCTGTCCCCAGAAGAAGGAAGTCAGAGTCTGTGTGGTTATACTACTCAGTTAACCATTAACCAAAATCTGGGCTATCCTTAGTCACTGGCAGCATGGCAGGTTTCGAGAGAAAAAAAATAATAAAAGCAAGCCACTCATATCTGAAATTCACTTCCTGTCGCAGGAAGAGGAGTTTCTCCTAAAGCTGTGGTTTGGTTGTCAGGCTGGAAGTGTGAAAGGCGCTGAAGAGAAAGTGTCTCCTCATGAGTTTAACATTCAGGGCTTCAGACTTCACTGCTGTGTGTGCCCACATGCTTCAGCATTTCCTCTGACGAAGATCTCAGCATCTGCAGCGCTGCTTATGGAGCCTGAGCAGCCACAGGCTGATTTACATCAACAGGAGGTTCTGGTTTTCAGCTGCTGCTGATGGACTGGCAGCTTCTCAAAATAACTGGTTACACTCTGAAGAGGCTTTCTCGGAAGTTATAAAACAACATTGRGCTCTAGATTCAGACACGTGGATTGTTTCCCTTCAAATTTCCATCTTCCCGTGTTAGATAACAGAAACAACAAAATCAGTAATCCCAGTCATGCCCATGCTTTTGAATAATCTGGAGGAGCAGGGATGCAAATGTTCTTCCCCCTCCTGTGTCTCCCTCCAGGGAGAAAGAATTTAATGCAGTCTTTAGTTTTAGTTTCAAACCATAGCACTGACGGCTCCCAAGGTAACCCCTGGAAACATTTAATTAGAGGGTGTGTGTATGGATTAGGAAACCTTTAAATTACAATGCAAAACAGCAGCACAGCGTTTGTGGCTGTAACAGAGATGAGGCCCAACACAGAGATCTGCTCCAACASCAAATCTAAGAGCAGTGGGTTCACAAAGCGATTTTTATCAACCAGACAAGCTCGTGTGACACTTGCAGCTCGTGATAAAAGAGAAACATTTTGAAGTTGTTATTAAGCAGTCTCCTCACATTCAGTGGTTATCACTGCACCTCAGCAGCCCAAGTATATAATGAACAAAAGATGCCCAAAACAGGATAATCAGCACCTGTTTCTGTGCATTATTTATTCATTTCCGTTTTGGAAAAATCACCTCAAACCTTGCAGAACTTCAAGCTGTGTAGTCCCAGTCATCTTTCCTTATGTTTGATAATTCACATTTGTTCTGCTCAGACAAGCTTTCTATTATTACCCCATTTCTTTCACTTAATTTTACTTTATAAAAGTGTGAACAAAGATTACATATGCATGACTGAATTGTGGAAATGAAGCTAATTAAAATTTGCTGCTTACCATCAAAAGGGAAAAGGGAGAGAGAGAGCGAGCAAAAGAGAAGGCCCAATAGGATTAGATCTCCCCCTTTTTTTCCACACCAATTATAAAACGCAGAACACAATTTTACGTTTTCAATATTATCTTTAGAACATACACAAAGTTTATTAAGTTTCTAATAAAGAGCTGGTGCCACAAAAGGGATAGAAARGAGAGAGACAATTGTGAATAATCATAGACTGAGACCATTAAAAATGAAAAAAATCCTACATAGGTTACAGGACTAGATAAACCTGGAGTGAGTATTCCAGAGCAAAATGCCTATCATGGGTGATTGTAGAAAGATATATCTTCCGAGAGAGAGATATTTCTCCATAACTAAAGGTAATTAATGCTTCTTTGTGGCATGGAGGCTGAGAGCCTTTTCCTGTGGATGTGATACCAGTTTATAAACTTAAGATTTGTTTTCATTAAGTTTTCCGTGATATCTTGTAGCGGTGAACACCATGAGTTAATTTCTGTGTGTTTGCCTTTCCCGTAGCAGTTTTTAGAGCAAATGTGGCCTGTGCAGTTTACCTGGGAGGGTGCTCCAGGGAATCCCTCCTGACCCAATTTGCTGCAATTCCACACYGTGGCTTCACTGCCAGCACCGAGGGGGAGGCAAGAGCAGCGAGGGCACAAACCTCTGTGTTTCCTTGTGAAATCAGCACACACATGCTGCCAGTCACTTGTCAGCCCCTCGGTAAMACAGCAGAGCCTCCTGGGGACACAGATTCCTTGGGGACAGGGTGCRCTGGCTCTGAGTGCCACTCGCTCTRCCAGCCCCTGCTCACACAAATGCTGGCAGTTGGCAAAAAAAGTAGTGGGAACCGGAGAATCACTGAGATAGAGCCCAGACTGTCATTACTGTGGTGCAGAAGGTGATTTTTCACCCTTAGAGATAATAAAGTTGCTGTAATCTCCACCCTATTTGTTACCCAACAGTGTACAAGGTTTCCTGGAGGGCTGTTTGCTTTCTCACCTTTCCTTGGGTGGCACCCTGGTGAAAGCCTTTAGGGGCAGAATAAAGCAGAGTTTTACCATCCATCCCCTGCACGAAGCTCACCCTGTGCCCCTTGCAGAGCTTACCCACCGCCCTCCATCCTGAGCTGGGGACAGGAGGGGCTGCAAGGATTTCAGTCCTTGGCCAGCTGCTCGATAAAAGCAAACTCCTGATGGGGCCGGGACCCCAAAACCGCCAGGTAGCACAAACTGCAGCTTCAGTGGATGTTGGAAAAACGAACCCATGGGACAGATGCTGCTGCATTTGGGTGATCGGGTCGCGGATTCACCTTTCCCAGCGTGCGGGGAAATCGCCGCTCCCGTTCCCGCTCCGCAGCATCACCCCCTGCCCATTTCCCAAATCCCATCCGAGCACTGYCAGGCGGCTCTGATTGGCAGACAGGCACTGCCACACTCGCCTTATCTCTGCAGAATTATTTCTCGATAGCTGTGTTGTGAATATGCAAATCCACCTTAATTGGCTACGCTAATCACACTGCTCTGACTGGTTTCTGTTCTCAAACTGTTCAAGCTACTTGACAGGAACAAAGAAAATATCTCGGTTTCTTGCTTCCCTTAGTTCAAAAACTCAAAAACCTAAATGAAAAAGGAGAGCTATCTCAAAAGCAAAGAAAATGAGGCTGTGAAAAGGATTAACTTTCTTTTCAGATAAAAACACATTGACTGTTTCTTTCCTCCCCAGTCTTTRCCATTCCCCATCTCAACGAACCTCTTGTCCCCAGAATAGCTGTGATACCTTTGTCTTGCCAGTATTTGTTTAGAGAAAGAGAATCCTGGGCTTGTTCAATTCTCTTTGAAACACAAAGTAAACAAAATGAGATTGCTGTTCTGCAGAGGCAKCCACTCTGATCTGCACCGGCAGAGGGGAAAGTGCTGTGGGAATGAAAGGAAGAAGCAACACAGACGAAACTGAAACGTCCAAATGATTTTAAATGTTTTAAGAAATCAATTTGCTTAAAACAGCTCATGTTGGCTTTTAAAATTATTTTTCATTAGAGATTTAAATAATTAAAGACTGCTCTCAGATAACTTGAGGTTTCTTTCTGTTTTCTGGAATCTGACAAGCCTCTYTACCCTTAAGATCCCTTTGTATTCTTCTGGTGAGTTGTTCTTGAGTAGTTTTTTCTTCTTTGCAAGATTATTGTGATAGTTAATCATATAAATAAATACAAGTAATTTCCAAAATTTATTTATAATTAATTTCCCTAAGCATTGGGTAAAACATTCTAATGCTGTTAGCTGCTTAACTCCTTTCCTTCTGATGGAGTGAGAGACTGAGTTTTGCAAGCTGGGCAGTGGATCTGCTGTGTAACCTGAACATCCACAATGAATTCTAATGGAATTAGATTACCTCCACAGAGGTGACATGTGGRCAGCTGCCAGCTTTTATTCAGCAATGTGCAGCTTTACCTGCAGTATTGCCATCCTCTTGGGACATGGTATTGTGAGTGTTTGCTTATTTGGAGGGTAGAGAAGGGATTTCAAAAGTGCTTCCAGGACACACAGTGAAAAAGATCTCCAAATCATTCCATCTAAATAAATAGATGAAAGMACTTCCCTACTTGCAGTGTGTTTTACAAATTGGCAGGAAACAAGAGAAGAAACTGGGGACAGAGAGACCAAATGGTTTATCCAAGATACAGAAAATCTGTGCAGCACCTGAGCCTCCRGACCAACTGAATTCCTGTGAAATTCCTCACACAACCTGCAGCCCCCAGACTGCTGAGCCATAAATGCACTTACACAGGCCTTCACTGGCTACTCTGGTGTTTTTAACTGATGTTAATTCATGACAATTAAAACATGAGTACAGCACCAAAACACATAATTACTGTACACAGYCATATCTGGAACAGTTGAACAATACACCACCTGCTGTTTGATCTCCCTGGYAAATTAAAGGCATCAAAGCTGCTCAAAGCTTTCACTCAATTGCAACGCTGTCTGAAGCAAAACAAATGCACCAGGAGCTCTGTGCTTTGCTGGGATCAGGTGGGAGTGCARTTCACCTGGTAAGGAAGGGAAAGGGTTAAGTAAGGAGAGGAATGAGCTTCTCTGTCCTTTGACACAGCCAAGGGTTAGCAGGACAAGAGGCCACTGGCTGTGGCCCCAGATGGGTTGGAAAATCAAGTAAAGCAAGCATCCTGAAATGAGATGGTCCTTCTTGCATCCTCTGGGAATGAGGCACCAAAGGAAATGGGTTTATTCATATTCTAGGCCTGACAAAGGAGCTGCCACTTAAAATCAAAATGAACACACATGCTRAGCCTGGGTTTCAATAATCAAAACTCAGGTGTATTGAACAAATATCCTGAAATACCCATCAGACTCCCTCTGTTTGAAGMACAGCAGCACCAAAGCACAGCATTTGGTTCAACAAATCACCATTGTGACCCTGGGGGCACAACCCCCAACACACTGAATCAAATCCCATTTTTCTCTGTGTAACTTTTTCTCTGTAACTTCTAATCTATTTGGCCACCTTGTCCAAATAGATGTTAATGGCAGCAAAATACAATTCAAACTCCTATTTGACATCATACTTTATTCCTTATGCCGTATTTTAAGTGAAACCCTTCTGTGCAGTGCACTTTTCCAGCTCATCYTTTCTAACAGAGGTTCACGCTTTTGGATGCTGCTATGCTACTTCCCCAGAAAAAAAAAAACTTGAGATTTCTGTCTCTGAATGTAGCTAATTGCTAAAAGTGA